TGTGTGTGTCTATATGTATGTCTATGTGTATATCCTGTAGACCGATAGGATATATCTACATATCTATACAAATAGATATATCTATATATCTATAGGTTACATCTAGGTATATAGATATATCATATTGCTTCTGTTTCTCTGAACCCTGGCTAATACAATGGGCCAGGCATACAGACTTAAAAGCATCATACCCTGCTTCTCTAAGAGACAGATGCCAACTGGAATTAGATGTGCAAGTGTTTTACTAAGAGAAGAGCCTCTGAAAGATAAAGGACAAAGTGGAGGGAGCTGGAGGAAGTGGAGGAAGCCTGCAGCCCATGATGCAGCTCTGAGACCTATGAACGAAGAAACAGAAGAAAGCGTTGAGTAGGAAGTGCTTCAGACCACAGTGCAGTTCTGAGAGCTGTGGCCAGCCTGATGGAGAGTCCCTGAACCAAAGGTGCCCATTTGAGGAATCCCCCTTTAGGCAGGAATGGCTCAGCTCTAGCACCCACCACTGTAGTCAGTCATGACTGGGGCAGCCTGGGGAAGTGTGACCTGGAAGTGAACGCTGCAGTCAATCCAAGGTACAACAGCTGAAGACTATGAATCAACTGTGCCCCACACAATAGACCCTCCCACAGAGAGATTCGAACAGGGCCCCTTCGTGACCCATTCTTCTGGCATGCCCTTCTGAGGCTGGGGGTGGGCTTTCACAAGTTCTGACCATCATAAAATCTCTATGTGGTAAAGGTAATATGTTCTTAAAGTGGAGTAGGCGCTCCCTAGGAACTTGTCTTGAAGCTTATGTTCTTATTTAGATCATATATTTACCAAAGCTAATCTTGGAGCCATCTCTGCTCATATGCAAGAGTGGGCCAGGCTGAGGAAGGATGATGGTGGGAATCTAGGAAAAGGAGGGGCCTGGAAGCTGGATTCCTTTTCTATTCTGCTGAAGCCAGAGACTTGGGAACAGCAGGCACCTCCCATCCCAAGGTGCTGGGATGGGAGGAGGACCTGGTTTTTGAAACCAATAATACATCAATCCATGGGCAAACTTTGGTACCCACACTCTATTTTACAGACCTCCGGCTGATCTCTTGGATACTTTGCAACAGAACTGGGAGAAATATGGCAGAGATCAGCTCTCCTTAGTTGAAACAGAAAATCCCCCGAGGATAGGCAGGAAAAGATACTAGACTACCTGTTCTTCTGATAAATCATATATAATGCTTGTTTGTTAAATGATTATAAATCTAGTTCTTTCTTTTATTCCTCCTTTAGGATCAAAATTTATTACCAATTCAGAAGATTAGTGTGGGCTGGGCTTCCTCTGTAAACATTTCCCTCTTTATTATATTTCCCCTACTCTGCAAATTAAGAGAACTGCCACTTAAAGCCTGTAAAAAACAACCCTGTCAATTAACTCTGATGGAGTCATAGTGATGAAATATTAGCTAGTGCTAGACAGGAATCTGGAGATCCTTTATTATTGCATATAGAAAGAAATGAGTGATTACCCAAGGTCACCTGGCCGACTAACTGCAGAAACAGGCTGGGAACCAAGGCTTTGGTTCTCAGGCTGGAGCTCTGCTCACTATGGCAGCCTTGTTTTCTTCTCTGATTGTACCCTGGTTTTTTTTTTTTTTTTTTTTTTTTTTGGTACTTTTATGCTAGAGAATACTTGGTTAGCCAAAGATTTTTTCATAACCTCTGTAAAGCATGTATTTCCCTTTTTTAGGGAACCACTTTTTCCTCTGGCTAAGAGTTTTGCGCCCCAACTTAATGGAAAAAAAAAAAAAAAACATTGGCTTGCCGCAGGAGCCTATAAAAATGCCATTTCTTTGAAAACTGGCAATGGCTAACGCCTAACATAAACCTCTGAAGGGAGAAAAGGACGGAGAAGCCAAGGTGCACAAATCGCCCAGCTTTGCGACTGGTAGAGCTAACACTTGTTTACTGATGTAGATGGTTCCAACAGCTGCTTGTCTGCAGACTCAGAAACTTCTCTGAACTAGAAGGAACTTTGACAATTATCTGTGAGGAAACAGAAAGAACATGTCCCGTGAGCACCGTCACAGGGCAGAGTCAGAACCGGAACCCACGCCTTCCAACTCTTAGTCAGATGATTGTCTGTGACAGAATATTTGGAAGACTCCAAGGATGAGGCTTTTAATTTCAGACCAGCAAGTGCAAATTGGGAAGTGTGTCAAAAGTCAGTGCATTGACTATGATAATCATTGTTGAGCCCTTATTATGTTCCAGGCGCTGTTCTAAGGGCTTTATAGGGATTGAGTACTTCTTTACACTGGGCTATTAGTCAGCTTTCGCCAGGCTGTGTTACAGCAGTAACCCCCAAATCTTAGTGGTTTACAGTAACAGAGGTTGTAGGTGGTCGTGATGGGTAAGACTCCTCCAAATGGCTTCTTCAATGCAGGATCAGGGTGAATGAGAAGATCCTATTTGAGATATGTCATTCTTGTGGCAGAGAGAAAAGGGCGCAATGGCCCAGAAAGCCTTTGCTCGGTCAGGACATATGTCATTTCCACTGAAATGCCACTGATCACGGCAAGTCACATGGCCAAGCCCGATGTCAATGAAAGGAACACAGCAAGTCACATGACAGTAACCAGGAATAATGTAGCAGACTAGCAGACTAGCAGACTAAGTATTTCTGTTCCCCCAGAATTCATGTGTTAAAATCCTAATCCCTAATGTGATAGTATTAGAAGGTGGGACCTTTGGGAGTTGATCAGGTCATGGGGGTGGGGGCTTCATGAATGGGATTAGTGTTCTTATGAAAGAGACCCAAGAGATCTCTCTCATCCTCTGTCTGCCATGAGGACACAAGGAGAAGTCATCCTCTCTCTGCCATATGAGGACACAAGGACAGAAGAGGGCCCTTGCCAGAACCCAAGTATGCTGGCATCATGATCTCAGACTTCCAGCTTCCAGAAGTTTACAAAATAAATGTTTGTTTTTTAAGCCATCCAGTCTATGGAAATTTGCTGTTCTGGAAATAGCAGCCAGAACAGCAGCTAAGACAGATGTGTGTCTGTGTGTGTGTGTGTGTGTGTGTGTGTGTGTGTGTGTGTGTGTAACATGAAAGGTAGCAAAATATTTGAAACAATATTGCAATCTACCACAATGAGAATCACCACTTAACATTTATAAGCTCATCCGATCTTCACAACAAAACCTATTAGGTAGATAAAAATATCATCCGTTATCTAAAGCTTATACAACAAATGAGAGACAGAGCTAGTATCTGAACCCAAGCAGTCGGCCTCAAGACTGATCCTTAATCAATAGGCCATGCCGCTTTTCACGATTTGCTGCCTTTCATTTGCTAACTCTCTGTCAGACACAGTTCCCTTCTCCCCTACTCCCTCCACCAACTGGTAAAGTCAGCCAAATGCCTAATGCCGAGACTTCAGCCATCTGTTATTTTTACCTACATTGCCACATTCATTTATTTATTCAAAAATATATATTGAGCATCTGTGGACATGGCGTGATACAAAGCAGTGGGCAGAGAGTGGGCACAAAGACACACCAGAAATAGATGATGGGCTCTGTTCCCATGAACCTAGTGAAAATATATATAACTAGAAGAATAAATCATAAACACATATGAACCTACAATTGAATTGCTATGGGAAAGTCAGAAGAATAAGTGAATTATGCTGGTGAAGGAGCCCTAGAAAAAGATGGGAAAGAGATATTTAGTTGTCTTTGAAGGATAGATGGAGTATGTAGGTGGGCAGATGGAAGGGAAGGAAAGGACTGCATGAAGATAGGGCGTGAGGACATGTGGTGGGGCCACAGAGCCATTAGTTCCAGGCCACATTCAGGAGGGCCCGCAGAAGAGTTTATACCCTGATTCAGGAATGCATACACTGGCAATACTAAAGGCGCCCTCTGTCACCCTATTTTAAACTGTTCCAGTACTGGATCACGCTGCCCGTGCTGACTAGGAATGAATATTTTTATAGACCCTGTAATTATCTTTGAACAGCGCAATTATGTGACATTGTGTTTTGTAGACACTAAAAGCATTAATTTGATAAATGTTATCTTTGAAAATATATCAAATTTTTAAAATCTTGTTTTGGCTTTTCTTCATTTCTAAAAAAATATATCAGCAGCTTCAAAAAAAAAAGAAAGCAGGTTTCATGTCTTTCAGTGTCTTTACAGTAAAACACGGTGGGAAGAAAATACAATCATTTTGGCTGTGAAAAATCATTCAGTTCATACTTCAGCAAATATTTAATGAGCGCTTAGTATAAACAGGGTCTTATTCTAGGTGTTGGGGATGTCGCAGTGAAGAAAGGGTACACATTTCTGTAGTCATGGCATCTGCATTCTACTGAGTATATAGGAGAAGTCATGAATAGCTAAAATGTGCATTTGTGGAGGAACCAGACTTTGATTGCCAGGCTAACTAGTATCATTTTTTTTTTTTTTTCCTGCAGACAGTGGGAAGTCATCGAAGGTTTTCTGCAGGGACATGATGAAAGCTAGGCTTTAGGGGATTAATCGAGCAGTACTATGGTAGGTGGAGGTGAACTAGAAAGGGACTTGGGTGGAAGAAGAGGCATTCAGAAAGCAGTTCATGCCATGCAGAAGCAGTTCATGGTGTCCAGCAGATGCAAAACTGGTCCTAAAGTGGGGTAAACAGAGTGAATGCAAAGGTTGGACAAGATGTAAAAGATCCCCATGAGATAAAACAGCAGGGGATGAATTCCTCATTGTGTGAATGTGAAACCAAGGGAAAAAAGAAAATCAAAGTTCCTGTGGGTTGCAGCCTCATCTCTGGTAAGGGCAAGGTGGTTTAGCCCAGAGTGGGCTTTGGCATCAGATGACCCTAGCTTCCAAGTCTGGTCTGACATTTAACAGCTGTGAAACTTTGGGCAGGTTGGTTAATCTCTCTGAGCTTCAGTTACCCCATCTGTAAAAGTGAAAAATAATTCCTAACGGCAGGATTAAATAAGATAATAAGTGTAAAGCACAGAACACAGACAGCTCCCAGTGGCTTTTTATTGTGATTATTATGGTTACATGGAAGATGAACTGCCTTGGGGGATGCATTTGAAGTAACTGCTGGACATCCAGAGAGAGACGTTGAGCATTTTCTGTGCTTTACACTTCACAAACCTCATCTCAGTTTGTCCTCACAACAAGCCTATGAGGAAGATATGGTTGTCATTACTATTTTACAAATGAAGAAAATGAGATTTAGTTAACTAAACTTAGCCCAGTCTAAGCAGCTAGTGAGGTGCAGAACTCAGATCCCCCTGCCTCCAAAGCCCATACTCTTAAAACATTCAAGGTTCGGAGCAAACCCAGAAGAAGCACTTAATTTAGTTTAAAAACTCTAACTCTCCCTGGCCACCCATCCTCAAACACCTCCCATACTCACCACTTGGCTGGCCCTGATTCTCCTGCGTGCTTATGAAGGAATGAGGTCAGTCTGAACGCGGCTGCCCTGCCCATCTCAGCAGCCTCTTTGGGTGGATTAGAACAGATTTTGCTGTTTCTGCTCAGACACTTATCAGTCAGCATAATCACGGTCATAGACAGCTCTTTTGGCCCTGGACTGGTAGTCACTGTCCTTCCAGATTTGCTATGTCCTATCTCTGGTAATATTCACCAAGCTGCCTTGGTGAATATTAAGGAATATTAAGGGCTGGGAGTTAACGTGATTGAAACATACCAACCCAGGAGTCAAGACCCAGGTTCATTTTAGGCCTTTGCCACTTACTACCTGTTCGATTTGGGGAAAGTTTCTTTTCCTTTTTGAGCTTCTTTCTCTTCTTCATTTGCAAAGCAGCGATAATGACCCCAGGTTCAAACCAATCAATAAGGAAATGAAGACAATCTGCAGAAGGAATCACTGTGCAACTAGCAACCATTCTCTGTGACACCCCCCAGTCCTAACAGTGCCCAAATGGAAGAATGAGAAAGATGGGGACTTTTAGCCCCAGAAGATGTCAGGAGATTCATGAGCCATAGAATATGCCCAAGGGAAACATCTTCCTGACCCCTTTCATCAGACTACCTTGACCTTCTGTTAGACCTATTTTAATTCTTCTTTTGTTTCCCAAGTGCAGTCAGATTGACTCATTTTTCACTCAAGAAAAAGTGTAGCATTCACAGGAACAGTTCTGTCGCTCTTGTTTCGATGTTAACTTCAGCATTACCTGTGTAGATTACAGGTTTCTGATCCAAAACAAGCTCTACTTAAAACAGAATGGAAGCAGCTCTCTGACTCACTTTGCAGGTTAATATCAAGCATGTTAATAGCTTTGCCATTGCTCAGTGAACAGATTCTAGCAACAAAGACTACTATGGTGTTCTTTCCTAATAATTTTCTGGGTATGGATCCACAAATTGGCTTTCAGAAATTCATGGCACAAAGATGGCATTTGCCAGCCAGTATTTGGAAAGAATCTGATATTCTCAGAAGAAAGTATGATGTAAATTGTTCTGTAATGTTAGGGGAGTTTAACATTGCTTCTATTCGAAGTCAATCCCTTTAACATATTGGCCGAGCACAGTGGCCCATGCCTGTAATCCTAGCACTTTGGGAGGCCAAGGCAGGCAGAGTGCTTGAGGTCAGGAGTTCAAGGCCAGCCTGACCAACATGGTGAAACCCCATCTCTACTAATAATATAAAAATTAGCCAGATGCGGTGGCAGGCGCCTGTAATCCCAGCTACTCAGGAGGCTGAGGCAGGAAAATCGCTTGAACCCTGGAGGTGGAGGTTGCAGTGAGCCAAGATGCATCACTGCAACCCCAGCCTGGATGACAGAGCAAGACTCCATCTCAAAAAATAAATCCATAACTAAAATAAGATAAATAAAATATTAACTCATCTCACTGAGCAAAGACCTGCCTTTTTATTAGCATTCACTTCTCACACTGCCTCACAGGCAGGCGTTTTCGTGTTTTCCCTTTCTTTTCCTTTAATGTACGATCTGGCCTGTCTAAGGAGACACCGAAATGCCAGAGCAGTCAAGCGAATAATCGGCATTTACTGTGGGCTCTGCCACATTTTCCAACCAGAAGGACGGCAGAGTTGAATGAGTGGGGGTCTTTGCATGTGGCTTTGTGCAGCAGGCCTGCCAAGCATTACTATTCCAGCCCTTAAACCTGTGCCAGACTGTTAATGTCTTAATGCTTATTCAAGTGTCAGGGAGTGCTGGCAGATGTCAGAGAGAATGGGAGGCTGTCAATAAGGAAATTACTTACATTCACAGGGTGATTGCAGCAGTCTGTCAGGTAGCGTTTGAGAGGATGTCATGCTGAAAGAAGGAAGCCAAGGAAAAAAAAAAAGGGTGGCAGCAAACAGCATTGAGGGAGGGTCTTTTAAAAAAACTGTTTGGGGATTTTTTTTTTTCTTTTATTTCTGGAGCTAAACTTCAGACACAGCAGTCACACACAGGTCAAGGAATAAACAAGAAGGTATTTCCTATTTGTGGAGACCTTAAACATAAGAGCTGGGGGACAAGGGGGCTTTTGTTGCTTGACACCCACAAAAAATTCAAGCTCTTTTCTGAGATGGCAGCAGGAATTAGCAACGCATAGGGTGTTCCATGAGTTATATATGTCATCCAACAACCCTTTACCTACCTACTATGTGCTAGGTGTGGTCAATAATGCAGTGACTAACTGTACACAGGAAATACATTTTTTAAATACATTTTTGAAATTCTAAGCGGGGAAAGACATCCTCTTTGCTGTGCAGTTTGAAGATGAAGAATTTGAATGAAGTAGTATCTCACCCATGTAACTTTCACAGCGCCTGCCTGTCTTTGCTTGCATGGGGAGGGGACTTGAAGAATGAGCTTCTGGAGAAGGCAGTCTTGCCTTTAAAAGCATCTCTTAGTTGTTCCGGATTTGCCATGGTGATTCTATTTATTACCTCCTTTTGCCTGGAAAGTTCTATTCCTGTCTTTTTTATTTTACTGGTCTTTATACTCTCCACCTTATCCCTCCAGGGACAACCTCCTCAGGAGCTTATGATGGAGTTACATCTCGATTAACCCATCATAAGTAAAAAATGTCATAAATAGAAAATACATTGATACTTTCTGACAAACCCATTGTAAATTTGAAAACTTTGAAGTTGAACTATCCTTAAGTTGGAATCTGTGGGTCTGTGGGTGTGCTTGGAAGAGGAGGGAGTAAAAATACTGTTGTCATTAGTCAGTAGTCAGATGCAATTGTCTAATTACATGGGGAAAAATGTGATCATAGTTACGAAACTTACATTTTAAATGAAAAGTCAGCCCCTCAGAATCACTCTGGAAACGTGAGACATCTTTAGTGCTCATCCTTGATGATGAGAAAAACACCCTTGCATTTAGAGAGAACATGGCAATTCCACTCATAGTTAATGGTGATTTTTTAAGGCTGTCATTACTTAATGTCACATTTTCATTGTAACATAGCTCCCTTCCATATTTCAGAATTTAACCCAGAAGGAATAACAGAGAGGATGTGAGTCATATTTGTTAGTTAGCTTTAGACTGACCAAAGAAAAGCAAATATTTTCCTGATGGAAACTCCAGAGCTGATGGTGCTCAAGAGTACAAGAATCAAGGACAGAGTCAACCAGACTCCTGAAAGATGCTGCTGCAGTGATTGTCTCCGTGGGGACAAAATCAGCTGGGTGAAATAGCGGGTAATAGCTAAAGTCCAGATGTGGCCTGGACAGATTCCTATGCCCCCACTCTCTACTGCCCTTCCTGTCCACAGTTCCTCTCTCCTCCCCCAGATCAAGAGGGGTGGAGTTGGGATTCTGGATAAGAATGTGCTCAGGTCCACATCAGCACAGCCCTCTCCCCAGGAGCATCCTGCCTACCTGCTGGCCTGCCTGTGTACTCATGGAATTTGCAGGGCGCATACCTCAATCAGTTTACACCAGTCATGGATGAGGCTCCGGGCCTTTTGAAGTGTCCTCTGTACCTTTGAAGTGCTCTCCCCAAGGGAGCATAAGCAAATTTCTGGGAAAAAAGTGTAGCAGGACTTAACCTATCCCCAGGGAAATTCTTCCAGAGATACCTCACATTTCAGGAAAGAGTCAATAAGCTTTTATGAAGACATAAAAGGCTTTCCATCTTGTTCTCGCTAAGCTGAAGCAGAAAACAATCAGGTTGGAAACTCTCTACCATCCACATATTAGCTCTGAAATATCTTTCTTACTTAGAGCTATAGCTTCTCAATGCCCACCTCCACTGGCCTTTACACCAACTACAGACGACCTAACCTTTTCTCCTATGTGCTGGAATATTAAGCTGTGGGTAAAAGTCAGAGCATATTAATCAGTCAATCCAGGAATAACACTGAATGATATACTTAAAAACACAGAAAAACATGCACTCTGTAGACACAATCAATATCATGGCAAAATTCTGGAAATGCCAGAAAAACATTAACGAATAATTAAATTTCCCATGTGCATTTATTTTCCCACTCGGTTACTGCTTATTTTACTAACTCTATTAAAAATTTAAAATCCATTGGAATCTGTCTATTTTTTACAAATTAAAATCCATAGTATTTTTAAAATATTTTCTTCCCTCCCCCATCCTTTCTAATGTTATGATGGCTATCATGCTCAATTTTCATATTTCTTGTTTCCTGTTCTCTAATGGGATACCTGTCAAGAGGCAAAGAGAAAAATAATATCACAAAGCCAATGACTGTCATTTATTAAGTACTTACAAAGTGCTGGGATAACCTCTTTGCATTTATTATGTTACTAAGACTTTAGGACAATCCATTACCCTTATTTCCTAGGTGGATATTAAAGTTTAGTAATGTTAACTCAAGAAACTTAAGGCCGGGAGTGGTGGCCCACACCTGTAATCCCAGCACTTTGGGAGGCTGAGGTGGGCAGATCACCTGAGGCCAGGAGTTCAAGACCAGCCTGGCCAACATTGTGAAACCCCATCTCTACTAAAAACTACAAAAATTAGCTGGGTGTGATGGTAAGTGCCTGTAATCCCAGCTACTCAGGAGGCTGAGGCATAAGAATCGCTTGAACCCAGGAGGCAGAGGTTGCAGTGAGCCACGATTGTACCACTGCACTTCAGCCTGGGCTACTGAGCAAGACCCTGTCTCAAAACAAAAATATAAAACAAAAACAAAACAAAGAACCCTAAATTAGTAATTCTAGTTCAAAGGTCATTTCCTCAGAACCACCACCCTTAACTAGGACATATACCTCTTACGTGTTTTTTTTTTAATCTTATCATAACATTTTGAATCTTTCCTTCATTTTTCTTATGTTTGTAATTTTATTTTATTTGCAATTATTTGATTTAAGTGTATTTCCTTGTTAGACTTTAAATTTTAAGACAGCAGAAACTATGTCTACTTTTGCTATTACTTAGCCTGTTATGTAGTAGGATTATAATATATACTGAATGAATCAATATTAGAATGACTTAATTAATAAGTGAACCCTTGTCTGTCTAACTTCAGAATTTGAAAGCTTTACTTTAGACAGAAAAATCGCTTTTTAAATTAAATCCTAGGTGAGGAAATATACAAAGTGATACACAATGTGCAACACTGAGTAGTGCTAAACAAGCTACCTGCGTTTGAATCCGAGCTCCACTACTTTTTAGCTGTTTGATCTTGGACATGTTCCTTAACCTCCCTGTGTCTCAGTTTCTTCATTTGCAGAATAATAAAAATAAGAGAACTCACCTCGTGCAGTTATGAGGGTTAAATGAATGTGCAACTTCTCAGAATAGCACGTGGTACTTAGAATGTTCTGTGTATGAGTTGGATATTATTATTACTCAGTTACTTACTTGATATAGAGAAAGAAAATATCCCAGGCTAATTTCATTTAAAGAACCCTAGGTGATAGCACTTATTCACTGACTCAAACCACCTGTTCTGGTCCTTCTGGTTGGAGGATCCTAAAAATGTTAATCTTAAAAAAGGTCTTTTATCTTTCAAGAAGAAAACACCCAACGTGAATCCATCTTGAGATTTTTACTAATATTTTACTCTACAAATTTAGAAAGGAAATATTTAGTGACGATAAATGATGTGTAAGTTTTGAGCATATATTCCCTTAAAAAAGTCTCTAATACTCTCCCACTGGGCCGACATCCTCTACAATCTTTATCAGTAATTGTGGAATGAGGAATAGCAATTGGAAGGCCTGAACAGAGTTACGCAGTGCCAGATCCATCACAGCTCAGCTACCTAGTAGCTGCTTCTTGTCTCACTTCCACAATCAGAAAATGGAGATTACATTGACTAGATTGTTTTGATGGTTACATGAGATAAAGCCATAAAGACCTTGGTAGGTCAGAAATGCTTAGTAAAAGTTTTCCGTAACATCCCTCCACCCTTATACTTCTACTTATAACCATCGCAACCAGGACTCGATCACCTCTCTCCTATCCTTTTGTGCTTTCTCTGAACACTTCTTTAATGTTTCTCCAGCCTTCCTATGACTGGAGTAACCAGGTGATGCCTCTCCTTCACATTTTCCATGAGCTCTCAAGGCCAAGTAATAGAAGTAAAGTAGTAGAAAAATGAGTCATTCAGTCAAAACATGTGAATGAGAATTTGTCTTCACTTCTACTTCTGACTGGCTACTTGATTTTCAGCAAGTTACTTAACCTACCTAGGTTTCCTTTTGCTCTTCTATAGGAGTGAGACTCCATGAAGCGTGTTCTGGAATCAACTTTTTTCCCCCTCTGCCCTATCTGTTTATATCTGTGTCATAATTGCAGTAACAGTAGTACTACTTTCATTTATACTTTCCAAAGTCTTTTATATTTATTGTGTTATTTGGCCACTATATCAACATTGTGAGGTACTCCAAGTTAGGCACTACACCTCCAGATAAAGAAATTGAGAGCTAAGCCACAGAAAGAATGTTTGATTTGGCAAGGTCACAGAGACCCTAGAACCCATATATTTTACCGTGCTAGGTCAGGCTTTTATGGTGCATCTATTGTATGCATTGCATTGGACAAAGTGCTAATGATAACAGTCCCATACTTTTTTGTAATAGAATACGTGCACAAAGATAAACAATAACCCAAAGCAGTAGATGCTAAGAGGTAAATGAGTAAACCACAGTTACTTTTTCTCTTATTGATTTGCCTGTGGAAAAATAATTCCTTCTTTTCTTAGATGAAATTTTCTCCATTATTGTGTGAGACAGCATTCCCCTCTCTTGGATTCGTGGAGAGCTTGATGGGAGAAAAAGATTAATTTTACTTTGATACCATTACTTCAGTGTTACATAAGCACATGCCTTGGTTTGGATATCTTTCAACAGTGGTCTGTTTGAACTTTAAATAGTGCATGTTTAAGTGTAATCTAAAACTTTGGAATTCTGTAGAGCAACAAAAATCAACGTTGGAAATTATCATGAGAAGGTTTTTTTTTCTGAGTTTTTCCCTGAGTCCATTTTTAGAACTGAGTATATGAGAAGTAAGGAGAGTTTCAGTTTCATTTTTAGCGAAACTGGTAAGTAATAGAATTGATTCTGAAACTCCACAACAAGAATAAGGGATATAAGACTGTCTGGGATACTTTCTACTCAAAAACGTACATTTCTCAGGAGTTTTGATAGGGATTTTCCAAAATCTTTAGATTTTTGAATATGTGCTATATTTATGCAGTTCAAACACAATAAAATATGACAAAGTGTCTTGTGAAAAGTTTCCTTCCTCTTTCTCCCACCCACTGTCTTACACCCACCAAGTTCCCATCCCCTCCCCTAAATAGCTAACTACTTACCAGTTCCTTATTTATCTGACGCCCAATTTTTCATGTATAAAATATTACAGTACAAATATATATTCCTTCTTGTTTCCTTTTAAAAAACAAAGAAACAAACAAACAAAAAAACAAAAACAGTGTCTTGTTCTGCCTCCCAGAGTAAGACCTGGGCTCAAGTGATTCTCCCACCTTAGCCTCCTGAGTAGCTGGGACTACAAGCATGCCCCACCACATCTAGTTAATTTTTTAAAGCATTTTTTTCTCACTATGTTGCCCAGGCTGTTCTCTAACTCCTGGT